TATATGTATTGAGTGGTAAATTTATTCGTTTTTGTTATTCCCCAACCTGTGCCCAAAGTTAGGTGACACCGAACTTTGTTTATACAGAAAATAAAGCGTTACCACGAATATTCTGTCAATGTTGTTTCAAACTTTGATATAGTCATACATTACGCCCACGTTTTATTTCTTTTAGAAGAATAAAAATGTATTTATTGTCAACAACAACTGAAATTTATAAAACTACGCAATGTATGAGTAATACTTGTAAGTTTTTAATTGAAAATCTACTCAGCATATGCTGTGACAACTTGACACAGCACTATTCTTCTGTGTATCATAAATTACGCCCACGTTGTGGTAACCATTTTATTTCTTTTAGAAGAACAAAAATGTATTTATTGTCAACAACAACTGAAATTTATAAAACTACACAAAGTATGAGTAATACTTGTAAGTTTTTAATTGAAAATCTACTCAGCATATGCTATGACAACTTGACACAGCACTATTCTTCTGTGTATCATAAATTACGCCCACGTTGTGGTAACCATTTTATTTCTTTTAGAAGAACAAAAATGTATTTATTGTCAACAACAACTGAAATTTATAAAACTACGCAATGTATGAGTAATACTTGTAAGTTTTTAATTGAAAATCTACTCAGCATATGCTATGACAACTTGACACAGCACTATTCTTCTGTGTATGCCATAAGTGACCACAAGGACGGCCGATCCTTTTGATATCATGATATTGCTTATCAACTTTTTCGAATTAAAATTAAAATTTAAGATATCTTTATTCATGTAGGTCTATTATAGATTCTTATGATATATCAAATCTACCGTCAGTTCGGAATTATTTCGAGATGAGAAGAACTGACAAGAAACTCACCTCGTATTCTTTTCAAATAAATCTTGTACATGTTTACAATAATACAGATTCATTGTTAAATTCAAATTTGCAATAGAATTAGTTTACATTTGTTGTTAGCATAGGCTAAAGCAAATAGTCTAATCAGTGTTTGTAACCCGAACAAACCAGTCTACACAATCAGCACCTGTTCACGAGGATAACGTATGAGCCATCCATCATTGCACTCAACCATATTAGAGGGAGCACATTGACACAGCCCACCACGCCGCTACAGGTTTGAACTTTATAGCGAACATGACTGTTTCAAGTTACATCACTACGTCATTTATAGTATTTACAGCATAAGCTGTAACAATCACAGTTTTCCCCCATTACAAAATTAATCAAAAAATTAACCCTCGTTTAGTATTACGGGATTGTTAGTAATGTGGTCTGATGACGCCATAGATAGTGAACAGTCTGTTGGTCGTCGTGACCGGTAAGATTGTAGTCGATATGGATTGAAAGGAGCTCTAATCAGAATCTAATACAGAAATATACTTTTAATGTAGTATTATTAATTAACGACAGGTTAATTGTTCTGTCTGTCGTAATTATTATCTTATAAGTGGCCAGCACGCAAGTTCTCCCTGGAAATAATCGTGATAAATTGCTGGTAATTTAGTCGTGATGGGGTAACTGATCTAACTTCATACTCATCTCTCCACTGATCATCCGGCAGCGTTAGCATAGGCGGATGTACCATTCCTTGTTATCTATTAAAAAACCGTTGTTTAATTTTGGATTTTCTTATTTATTATAATAATAATCTATATATATATAACTCAAAGGTGACTGACATAGTGATCTATCAACGCACAGCCCAAACCACTGAACGGATCGGGCTGAAATTTGGCTTGCAGGTAGATGTTATGACACAGGCATTCGCTAAGAAACGATTTTGATTAATTCTACCCCCAAGGGGATAAATAGGAGATGAAAGTTTGTACGAAACTTTGTCAATTTTAAACCGATCGGGCTGAGACTTTGCATGCATATAGCTACTATGACGTAGGCATGCCCTAAGAAAGGATTTTTAATAAATTCCACCCCCAAGGGGATAAATAGGAGATGAAAGTTTGTACGAAACTTTGTCAATTTTAAACCGATCGGGCTGAGGCTTTGCATGCATATAGCTAATATGACGTAGGCATGCCCTAAGAAAGGATTTTTAATAAATTCCACCCCCAAGGGGATAAATAGGAGATGAAAGTTTGTACGAAACTTTGTCAATTTTAAACCGATCGGGCTGAGGCTTTGCATGCATATAGCTAATATGACGTAGGCATACCCTAAGAAATGATTTTGATAAATCCTTATTCAGATATTAATTAATTACATTTTACATTTCTTAACATTTATATATATATCTATCTGTTTGCTAACAAGCATAGGCATAGGTTGGACGGGCCAACTGTCTCCAGTGGTCTCGATCATTTGCTAACAATTGATTGTTCTAGCCCAAGTACCACCTGCCACTACTTTGTTATCATCTATTCATATTCTGTACTGTCTTCCTGTTCTCCTTTTCATATCTTTTGTGTACCAATGCCATATTGCTTTCTTAGTTAATACACTCTATACTAAATTCAAATGTCAAAAAGATTTTTTTATCAATAATCTAAACTTTACTAATTGTTATTTAATATTAACCTTACTTGTTTGTGACTAGACATAGTTGGATCGGTGGTGTAGTGAATTAGCACCTTACCTCCGATGATCGCGGGTTCAATTCCTAGAATAGCAATACACCACACCAGGTCTTGTGCTGAAAAACAGCGTTGCAGCGCTCCAGCCGCTGCAGCATTATGCTGAACACGGACCTATTCGGTAGATGCTTCGACAAATATACGCATTCACGCACACGCGCACACAAGTAATTTGTAATTTTATAACAATAAATGGTAATTTTTTTTTTATAATTGTTGCAATGATTGAGTTTTTTTTTCTTTGTTTGTTTAATGTGTTATTTAGTTTTTTTTAACATCTACTAAATAAATATAATTTCATTTCATTTCATTCATTAGAGCATTATGCATGAGAATAACATCTACACCGATACAAACATTTTCTATGTATTCTATGTTATATTATGTATGTACATGAAAAATATTTAAAAATAAATAAAAAAAAATACTCCTCCTCACTCAGAAAACTGTGCCGTGATGTGTCTGCACTCCAAAAGCGGGGTAATGCAAGGTGTCAGCCTACTAGTGTCACCAGAACTTATGTTTATTTTATGTTTCAGTGTGTAGTTATGTTTGATGTTTATTTATATATGGTAGTATGTCGTAAATATTTACTCTGTGTTATCCCCCTAGTTTTATGTATGTATGTGTATTATTATTATTATTTTATTATATATGAAGGTATCCGCTGAAAACCAGCGTCGTGGCACACCGTCACGACACATGCTGAGCGGAGACCTATTTGGTACTGTAACAATTAATAAAAAAATGTAAATTAAAATTTAAAAATTATTTTCAGTGTACCAAATAAACAATTTTCTTTCTTTCTTTCTTTAATAATTAATAAAAATTCAAGGGATCTTACCGGGTTTTAGTTTAACCGTGGACAAGGCGGTTGAAACACTGCCGAAATATCGGGAACTCAATAAAAATAAAACGTGGTAAGATCCCGTGGAGATCTTTGGGGGAGGCCTATGTCCAGCAGTGGACGTCTTCCGGGCTGCGATGATGATGATGATGATGAAGATCCCGTATTATTATTATTATTAGTATTCTTCTTGTTAACCAATTTAGTGGCAAAGTCGAAGGCACGTATGAGCCTACTAAGTCAGGTCTGTGGAGCGCCATATACGTACATTTGCGGAGACAGCAGTTCTCTAGGGACTATCACGAGAACGCCACTATTGCTTCATATTTCAGTAGGTAATAGGTTGAGATTAGGAAGGATATGCTTTACGTTCTATTTTTGAAATCGGTACAGAGGAAAGCAGAAGTTTTATAGCGGATAGAAACATTAAACAGTGCAATCTATACTATTATTATAAAGAGGTGAAGTTTATTAGGTTCTAGGAAGATAATCACTTGATCTACTGAAGCAATTGTGAAATTTCTTTTAGTCTCAGTGTAGTAGAAAAGACGAATGTCTTAAATTATTAATTTCTGTTAATTAAACCACAGATAACATAATAAAACCTACCAGTGTACTCGGAATATTAAAAAAAAAGTCTTCAATAAAAACGTTCTGCGTATTTAATGAAAATTACTATGTAGGTACATTTACATCTCATAACGCAAGTTAAATTTGATATTGTTCTGTGATATTGGTATGAAAGCGTCATATAATTTGGTATATTTTATATATCTTTGTTATGTAACAAATCAAACCAAATCAAAAATATTTTTTTCATTTTAGCCGCTTATGAACGTAAATTTTTTTTATTAACGTTTGTGACAGATGGAATGTATTAAAGGCTGGTTTAAAATTAGACACGTTTCTAGGTGAGGTAAAATATGTAAAAGGAAAGAATATGGCATTAGAAAACAATCGGTAAATAAAAACAGAATGTCAAAATATACAATTCAAAAATATATAAAAAACTTATAAAAACTATCAAAAAGGTTTTATTCGCAAATTAGTGACTCTTTTAAAGAGTTATTTGTTTTTACATTGATTTATTAAATAATTAATATACTATATTTAATGCTGTAATTATGACCTGAACTGTACTAGATCTTGGACCCTATAGGTAAATGAAACCCAAGGATAGTACTGGATATGTGTATATTGCGTTTTAAGAATGTATTCCTCTCTATTTCGCTCACTGACTACAAAACGAATTATAACTATAACATAACACAAAAATATCTTGCCACCGCGATGTAGAAATTATACATAAATGAGACAGCGACATCTAGTTTACTTTTCGGAACTATTATATTGTGCTCTTAACTAGATTAGCTGAAACATACCGCCCACCAAGGACATGCTGAAGAAATGTCCTTAACTAAACCGCTGAACATAACGGAAACTATAAAAGTTCTTGGTGAGTAGTATTACAAAAAAAAAAAATTTTAACCTACAAACTAGAAAATATAAAAAATAATCTTATTCTAGGTACTTAAATATTAACAATATCATTCGTTTACTGGCAAAATACATAATTTACTTGTAGGTCTTTTTAAAAGAGATTTCTCAGTACGTAGTGTGACCACCCGGGTTAAACCATCAGTACCAACGTGTTTTTGTTCTACCCGGCCAAGTAACCAGCGACCAGGAGGTAATTCATCTTCTTTGACTAGAACTACGTCTCCGACTTTAGGTTCTGGTACTTGACGAGCCCATTTATACCGATTGAACAACGTACTCAAATATTCCGATGACCACCGCTGCCAGAAATTCTGTAACATTCTTTGTACTAGTTGCCATCGATTCAAGAAACTTATTTGAGAAAGTTGATAGTCATTATCAGGAACGCCTACCAATGGTCCCCCAATCAGAAAATGTCCTGGGGTTAATGGCACAGGTACATCATAATCATCACCACTTATAACTGTCATTGGTCTGGAATTCAAACATGCTTCAACCTGCGTCAGGAATGTACTTAATTCTTCATATGTAAGAGTGGACTCACCAATGACACGTCTTAGATGGAATTTGGTTGAGCGCACGACACGTTCCCATATCCCGCCAAAATTTGGAGCGTGTGGTGGAATGAAATGCCATTCCGTGCCCAAATTCTCCAAATGTTCTGAAATTTGGCTTTGGATTGCAGATAATTCCTTTAGTTCTCGTGCGGCTCCAACAAAATTAGTGCCATTGTCACTCCATACTTGATTGCAGATTGATTGCACACTTGGACACAAAACGTCTAAATGCAGCTAGGAATGCTTGGGTACTCATATCACTCGCTACTTCCAAATGAACAGCGCGAGTTGACATACAAACAAACACGCAAATATATCCTTTATAGGCTCGATATCCTCGGCCCTTTGTAGTTTTTATATTGATCGGTCCTGCATAGTCTACACCACTATGTATAAATGGTCTTGATGGTGTACACCTTACACTTGGAAGTGAACCCATTAACTGATTGGTCACCTTTGCATTATACCTGACACAAGTAACACAATTGTGTACATGCTGTTTGACTAAACTTTTGGCTCTGACAATCCAATAAGCTGATCTCAAGAAATTGAGCATTAACTGAGGACCACCATGTAAAGTACGGGAGTGAGCACTTGCTACAATAAGTTTAGTGAGGTGATCATCATGAGGAAGAACTATTGGATGCTTCGTATTATCTGGAAGTGCTGAATGCTGAAGTCGACCACCCACCCTGATTATATCATCATCGTCAAGGTAAGGGCACAGTGATTTTATTTTACTTGTTTTATCCTTTATATAGCCCATTTTTGTAAGTTGTGTGTACTCTTCTTTAAATTCTCTTTTTTGACATTCTTTTATACAACATTTTAATGCTTGATCTATTTCTATCTTTTTCAGGTACTTAGTTCTATTACTTTTTTCTTTACTTATAAATCGTTTACAGTATGCTACTACTCTTAGCAGCCTGTTTAAGGAGGAAAACTTACTCCAGGGAGATTCTAATTTTTCTATTGTAACATGAGATTTAATACATTCTTCTAAAGTTATATCTGTATTTTTTGGACGATTATATACAATATTTTTACTTCGCAGAAATTGTGGTCCTTCAAACCACTGACTACAGTCTGCTAGAGAGCCTGGTTGAATTCCTCTGGAGGCGCAATCTGCAGGATTGTCTTTCGAAGATACATGCGCCCATTGGTCCGAATCAAGTGTGGTTAAAATCTCGGACACACGGTTAGCCACAAACGTTTTCCACCTTGATGGATGACTATTTAGCCAAGCTAATACGACAGTAGAATCGGTCCAAGCTTGCACAGATTCCTTCGAAATGTTTAATGCTCTTGCTGTTTCAGCTAATAGACGTGCCAATAGTAATGCACCACAAAGTTCAAGGCGCGGTATACTAATTTGCTTAATAGGTGCTACTTTAGTTTTGGCCACTAGCAACGATACACTAATCTCTCCTGTACTACTGACTGATCTTGTATAAATAACTGCAGCGTATGCTGACTTCGACGCATCGCTGAAACCGTGAAGTTCTACCGAAACATCATTTCGTGTTATGCCTAACCATCGAGGGATGCGAACTTCGGTAAGTTTTGTGAGCTCATTTCGGTAAGTATGCCATTCTTGTTGTAGAACGGTTGGTACTTCCTCGTCCCATTGCATTCCTGTCAACCAAAGCCTTTGTATGAGTATCTTTGCTAATATTACCGTAGGTGCTATCCATCCCAAAGGATCATACAATTTCGCTATGTCTGATAATATGTTTCTTTTCGTTACAGATGCTGATTTTGGAGGCAGGTGCACCGAGTACTTGAAGATATCGTCGGAAGGAGACCAGGTAAGTCCTAATATTTTTGTAGTATCGAATATGTCCTTTTCTTTCTTGTTTTCTATGTTCTCTTCTACTTTATTCTTCTCTTCTTTATCCCCTGTAGTCTCTCCTTTTCCCACATATTTTTCTTCTCTATTATTACGCTTATTTTCACCTTTCTGAAATACCTTTAAAAGGTCTTTGTTGTTAGTGTTCCATTTTTGTAACTCGAAACCACCTTTGTTCAATAAATCTGACATTTCCCTGTATAATACCTCTCCATCTTGTACTGTAGAACAGCCTGTCATTAGGTCATCCATATAAAAAGAATTTGGTATTAGTTCTGCTGCTAAAGGATAATTTTCACCTTCATCTATAGCTACTTGATGTAATGTCTTTACTGCCAGGTAAGGTGCCGAAGCAGTCCCAAACGTGACAGTAATTAACTCATAATCTTTTATTTCGTCCTCAGGCTCGTCTCCCCATACAATTCTCTGAAACATAATATGTTCTTCTGCAACTCTAACCTGACTATACATTTTGACGATATCTGCGACGATACAAATGGGATGTATTCTCCAACGAGTTACGATATGACGAAGGTCTGATTGTAAGGTAGGTCCTACCATCAAAGTCTCATTAAGGGAAATGTTGTACTCATATTTGCAGGAAGCATCAAATACTACCCGCACTTTAGTGGTGGACTTATCATCTCGAACGACAGCATGATGTGGTAAGTATATTCCTTTAGTTTTATCTCCTGTTTTTACTTCCCTCATATGATTTAATTTTAAATATTCATGTATAACTGATTTATATTTTTCTTTCAGATTTGTATCTTTCATTATCTTCCGTTCTAATGCCATTAATCTATTCACAGCTATATCTCTACTATTACCACCTACACACGAGGGGTTCCCATCTCTAAAGGGTAAGTTTACCACATATCTTCCGTCCTTCGTCCTTTTTGTAGTGTTTGTAAATAGATTTTCGCACTGTTGCTCTTCATCAGTAAGTATTTTTTCACTTTTATTAGATAATAATTGTTCTTCTATTTCCCAGAACTTTTTAAGGATATCATTTTCATTAACCTGCACATGCATAGTAGTGATCTGTTTTGTACTATTATTAATTTTATTTTGATCTGTGTTTTCAGAGTGTACTGTACCAGAGAGAATCCAGCCTAATCTAGTGCACTGTGCTACAAGTGATCCAGTTTGGTTCTTTTTTATGCCTTCTTTAAGTACTTTGGCATAAACATCTGCTCCAAGTAAGATGTCTATCTTATTGGGCGCCTTGAATTGTGGATCTGCCAATGGTAACTGTTCTAAAACTGTCCAGTTTAATTCTTCGAGTTTCCGTTCCGGTAAGTACGAAGTAATATTTTTCAGGACGTATGCATTGACGTTAATCTCGAAATTAACATCGGTTAAGGACTGTAATACGATTGATACCATATATCTGGATACAATATTTTTATTGTCACCGAGTCCAGACACCGTACCGTTAATAGGTGTTTTCTTTAATCGTAAGAATTGAACTGTCGCTTCTGTTACAAAGGAAGCTTGAGAGCCCTGATCTAGTAAGGCTCGTAGAATTTGAAAATTACTTGACGCAGACTGAACTTTCACTAAGGCTGTCGCAAGTAATACTTGTCTCAGTTTTGTGATCCTGGTTGTGGCAAAACATGAAACTAAAGGTGTACTGTTATTTGAAGAAATTGTACCTTCCGAAGAGGTACTTGGTTTGGGATTATGGCTAGTGGACTCATCTGTCTTACATCCTGAATCCGAATGTAATAACGTATGATGCCTCTTTTTACATACACGACAAGATGTTGGTTTGAGACATTGAAGCGTTGTATGATTTCCACCAAGACAGTTATAGCAAATTTTATGATTTACTACAAACTGACGCCTCTGTTCATAGTCTAAAGCAATGAATTTCTTACAGAAGCACATTTTATGACTATCGGAACAATATTCACACTGAAAATTAGAAAATGAATTCGTTTTACGCGTTGCCAACATTACCTTGGTATTAGATTTTTGTGAATATGAACTATTATTTTGTACTGGTACTTTTTTAGACTCAATACACTCTAAGGCTTTGAAACGACTTTCAACAAAGTTCTTGAACTGATGCAACGTTGGCAATTCCGTACTTTCATCACTTGAAACCTTCAGTTCCCATTGTTTACGGGTTTCCGGATCAAGTTTGTAAGTTACAACATAAATTATTATAGAATCCCAGGTGCTCACATCTATCATTAAATTTTGTAAAGCATGCAGACACTCTGTAGTAGTGTCTAAAAGGTCTTTTAGTGCCGAAGCGGACTCCACAAACATTCTTTTTTGACTAAACAATCGCTTAAAAATACAATTTGATAAGTACTTTTTATTGTTATATCTACTTTCTAATAGAGACCAACATTGACTATAATTAGAGTCCGTTATAGGAGTATGCCGTATTAATTGCTCGGCTTCACCAGTTAAATGACTTTTGAGGTAATGTAATTTTTGCACATTATCGAGAGTATTATTATTATGAATGAGCGATATAAACAAATCTCTGAAGCTATTCCATTCAGAATATTTTCCTGAATATAAAGGTATTGAAATTTTGGGTAATTTTATAAGAGAACTGTTATTACCTTTAGATTGGTCACTTTTATTTGAATCAGTTTCTTTGATTTTAACTGCTAATTTGTTTGAGGTACTTTTTAATAAAGCGCGATATTCCATATAAGTTTCTTCAACACTATCATAAATTTCATTTTTAAAATACTCGTTATTTTCTATTTTATCATAGTATTCTTCTAACAATTTATAATGATTCGAACGAAAAAGTAACCAGTCTTTATCTAAATTATCTGCTCTAACTTCTACATACTCTAGAGTAACTCTTTGTTTAGGTGACTTATTAAAATTTACAAATGCTTTTTGAATAGACTTTTGTAAATTAACTTGTATCTTAATAAGACCTTCTGCCATGTTTACTTAACTAAATGTACTGTACTAATATAAACAAAGATGTATTTTATCGAATTTGAACTATTTCAATTCGCAAAAAATTTACAAGTTGAAGAAAATTCTTAAAAATTTTACAAGTGTTTGACACAAAATTAAAAATCGGGCATAGGTTCCCAGTTCCCTCGTTTTTTCTTAAATTATTCTAAGTCCTAAATTCTACTCTAATTTTACAAAGTTAATGTTCTATTGAAAATTATTCTAAGTTACTATTTTATATGTAAAAATTCTTATGATCTATGAAATGTTAAAGTTCAGTGGCTAATGAATTTAAAGTTGATAATTGCTTGGCAAATTATAAGTTCAAATTGTACTCACACACACTTCACTTTAACTGACCCCTATGACGTCCCAGCTCCTCTTCTTCCCTTTGACGCCAGGGGCGCTGGGGTCGCAGTTGCTTCCACTTTTCACTAGGGGCGCTGCAGTTGCAGTTGCTTGCACTCTTCACCAGGGGCGCTGCCGTCGCAGTTGTTTGATGTCTGCACTAGGGGGCGCTGCAGTCGCAGTTGTTTGATGTCTGCACTAGGGGGTGCTGCTGTAGTATGATGCTAATTCTGAACACCAGAGGGCTGCTGTACTTCCTTTTCTTGGACGTCAGATGGCGCTGCTGTTTGTTCTGCGCGAGCGCAGTATATGGTAGTTGTTTCTCGCCACCAGATGACGCTCTTGTTCTTTAGTGTGTTGCACTGATGACACACTTGACCTGTGGGACTTGAGCTTCTTTGACAGTAAACCACTGCCCATTAAGCGTGCAATTCAAAAATGTACTGAATCCGGCTCGAAGGACCATATTTAATGCTGTAATTATGACCTGAACTGTACTAGATCTTGGACCCTATAGGTAAATGAAACCCAAGGATAGTACTGGATATGTGTATATTGCGTTTTAAGAATGTATTCCTCTCTATTTCGCTCACTGACTACAAAACGAATTATAACTATAACATAACACAAAAATATCTTGCCACCGCGATGTAGAAATTATACATAAATGAGACAGCGACATCTAGTTTACTTTTCGGAACTATTATATTGTGCTCTTAACTAGATTAGCTTAAACATACTATCAATTACCATGTTACTATTTACCATGTTTCTATGCTTACTAGGTCATCTCAACATTATTTATTTTTTATTTATTTAACTTCAATGCACAAAACAATGTGTAGGTACATGTGGCGGACTTAACACCTTGCGGCGTTATCTACCAGTCAACCATGAGTGGTGCAGAGAAAGATCGTTGGCGGTGCACTAATATTAATGACAAATGTAAAATATACATAAATTTCTATAATAACATAATAACTAACATAAATATTAAAACATTATGTTATTGTAATCGAATTGTTTTTTAAAGAAATAAACTGTTTTTCATTTTCATTTTCATTTAATTTTTTCTCAAAATTTAATGTACAGAGATTTATATGCATTTTCAAAGAATCATATCAGCTTGCCGTCTTCACGTTCTGTCAGATCTCGTTTGAGAATCATTAGCCTGGCTAAAAGTGCAATACGCCTGCTATAGGCCGAGTGTCGCTATTGTCACCACACTTTCCTGATAAATTTTAAAATTAGTTAACATCTTTGTAAATATAGTTTGATTTTATTTATTTACTTGTAAATACACTAATATTATTAGACAGAAAAATAAGACCATTGTGAAAAGATCCAATAGCACAAACCTAAAATTTTCAGCGTTATTTGTACCTATTGATTATAAAGTACAATCTTTTCATTATTGTTAATATTAATGTTATAGTTTATTTTTATTAATATCAATAATAATAGAGTAATTGGGACAAGTATTAGTAATGCTAAAAAAACTCTCACTGGGACTTAATAGTATCATTGCTAGCAACATAACGATGTTATATTCATAACGATGTAGCATATCACCTTCGTTAGTATCCTGCCAGTATAAGTACAAAACAACAAAACAAGTAGTATAAAACTCAATATGTATATAGAAACATTTATAATCGCAATTTATTTATTTCTTCATTTGCACACAAAATTATATACATGCCAGACTTAATGTCTGATGGCATTCTCTATCAGTCAAACGTCGCGTTGATCAGAGATAATAAACACGGTGTAATTTAATAATTAATATTAAAATATAAAGATATATAAATACATTCATTCACGTAAGACTATATATAGTACAGGCGGGGCCATTCTATTATCATTTATGAAAAAACTCAATATGTATATAGAAACATTTATAATCGTAATTTATTTATTTCTTCATTTGCACACAAAATTATATACATGCTAGTCTTAATGTCTGATGGCATTCTCTATCAGTCAAACGTCGCGTTGATCAGAGATAATAAACACGGTGTAATTTAATAATTAATATTAACATATAAAGATATATAAATACGTTCAGTCACGTAAGATTATATATAGTACAGGCGGGGCTATTCTATTATCATTCATGATAAAAACTCAATATGTATATAGAAACATTTATAATCGTAATTTATTTATTTCTTCATTTGCACACAAAATTATATACATGCCAGACTTAATGTCTGATGGCATTCTCTATCAGTCAAACGTCGCGTTGATCAGAGATAATAAACACGGTGTAATTTAATAATTAATATTAACATATAAAGATATATAAATACGTTCAGTCACGTAAGATTATATATAGTACAGGCGGGGCTATTCTATTATCATTCATGATAAAAACTCAATATGTATATAGAAACATTTATAATCGTAATTTATTTATTTTTTCATTTGCACACAAAATTATATACATGCCAGACTTAATGTCTGATGGCATTCTCTAACAGTCAAACGTCGCGTTGATCAGAGATAATAAACACGGTGTAATTTAATAATTAATATTAAAATATAAAGATATATAAATACATTCAGTCACGTAAGATTATATTAAGTCTTACTTTTGCTTGTACGTTATTAAACTCTATAAATATTGTTACCTGAATATTGAGTTAATCCGTTCCTGGTAATATAGACGTAAGTTTATGTAGGTATGGTTAATTTATCGATACAGTTAATCATAATGAGCCTATAGGTTATTTAACAGCTATCTACTATACATTTATCGTTAACGATTATTGTCTTAAGATGTATGTTATAATTAGACTATTTTATCTGTATCTAGAGTAAAATTATACTCGCAAAGGTATTATGATTTATATTCATAAAGTAAATTTAAAACATACTTAAATTATTTTTAAAGTTTTTTCATCTTTGGACAAGTATCAGCTTATATTTCTCTGTCTTAGATGATGATATGATCATCATCACCCCCCTGCCATCTACTGCTGGACATAGGCTTCTCCCAAGCTACTTCACTGGGTATGATCTTCAGCCGTTCTCGTCTAGATAATACCCAGTAAAGGATATATAGAGCTATATATATAAGTTCAAAGGTAGATTTGCGTAAAATGCAAACTAGAGACTACACTAATAAACTAAGAGTCGATTTTAGTTTAATTTATGCAACTATAACTATACTAATTTATACACTATGTATGTGTTATATGCTAATTTGTAAAAATTTATATCAAAATTACAATTGTAATTCGCCAAAAGCAATAATTTTCTAAACTGTCATCGCGCTGGATGCCATGCAACAGAAATCAGCGTTTTGTATTCATGAATTTGGATCATTTTTGGTTTTGTATTCAAAAGTATGAATTTCAATCGCAGTGGTTGCTTTTTTTTGGTTATTTCATTGTATTGGCTTTATACCATTATTAGTGGTCGGCGGAGTAAATATTTATATTTCCATCAAATATTTTAGCGTATATAGATATATAAATTTAAAGGCTACACTAATAAACTAAGAGTAGTTTAATAGAATTTTTATGCAACTGTAACATATATGCTAATTTATAAAAAATTCATATCAAAATTGCAATTGTAATTTCATGTTATCGCTTCTAAAGTGTCCTCGCGCTGGATGCGATGCAACAGAAATTCAGCGTTAGTTTTGTATTCATGAATTTTGGATCAATTTTAGTTTTGTATTCCAAAGTATGAATTCTAAGCACAGTTGTTGTTGTCCCGTCGGATTGTGGCTTGTACAATAATAACAAACAACGTTGTCTGTTATAAATTGTGTACAAAGTCAAGTTCAAGGTTTGATAAATTTCAGTTGAATATTAGTTGTTGATATAAATGTTGCTAGAGTAGAAATTTTATTTGCTTATTCGATTATTTAGTTAACTATGCCTTAAATAAAACTTTACAAGCGATTATAAGAAAAAAATATATTGATTTTTAGATTGTTGAATATGCTGTTTTCAAAATAAGACTGCGATTTTTCTAGAATATTTTAATAATTGAAAATCTAAATACATATCAAAGTGTATTATCTGTTTTCAGGTATACATATTTTCGAACGTTAGTCATAGCGGCTTTATTTATTTATTTTATTGTCAACACGTTTATACCTTTAAAAGTATTATATAAAGTTAGGTATATTCTAATTTTATAAATTAGAGTATGCAAGGCTCTTGTGTAGACGTCAGAAACTTGGACTTTACCCAAAAGAGAGTTCAAGATATGCAATGCTCGAGAAATGGGACGATTACTACCGTTGCTTGTGCGCACGACCGCATCATCTTATGAAGATGTAAGCGAGTGCAGATATGAATCCTTATATAGATAGATGCTGAATACCAACTCCTACCTCATGGGTAAGAATTAATTCTGAAAGCACTTCGATTCGGGAAAAAATATATCAAGATTGAGACAATCAGACAAATTACAATATTTTCTGAGGACAAATTACAAGTTCACATTTAGTCTTATGAATAAACTAACACGTGGTGGCTACAGTGAAGTGTTCACGTCGTTAGGCAGACGTTAACGACAGCGTGCTACGTGAGCAGCGTGTTGACATTAAAAACATATTAACATTAACACAATCAGATTGTACAGGACTCCTTACATACGGGCAGTGGCGGGCATTA